AGCTGTTTTATATAATTACAATCTTTTACCTTTAAAGTTTTTTTGCAGTTAAATTTTTTTTATCACTTAGCAACTGCATACAGATCAGATATTTGCAATGCTGGTAAACATTGATTAGTAATGATTTACCAAAGTGTTAGTGTATTCTGCTCCTTGTTTCTTCTGCTCAGGTGCTACTGTTTATATTGATAAATGTTATTTTTAGAAGGTTTTACAAGGTTATCTCTAGGAAAAAAGGCAGGTTTCTAAAATTACCAACCGAATTTGACCCACTACATAATCAGTGTTTTCTGTTCTTTCTTCTTGGAGAAGTAGATTCGTTACCAAACGAGAGCCAAATCAGACAATTTTATCCACCGTTATTTAAATTTTTCTAGTCTTTGGCAGTTTTTGAAGGAAAGAATCAGAAAGTTGTAAAGAAAGTGAAGATTATTCATTTACAACTATTTTTTTTAAGGTTATATGTTTTGACGACTTATGAATATAAATCAAAATTTTGAAAAAATAAGTAGATACGATTGTGCTTTGGAAACTGTAGAAGTAAACTGGAACGCACAGTCTCTGTTATGTATAGGTACTGCTTTCTTAAAATTACTGATACACTCAATCAGATATGATTTTAGATTGCCTAAGCTGCTTTCCCAATTACGATGATACGCTGTAGGAATGCCACGTGCTCTACGAATTTTAACTTTTGCACTTTTTAAATAGAGCACTTCAGGATCAATTTAAGCTAAGTGATTATACAGAGATCACTCGTCACTGCATACGACTTCTGCAATCTTCAGCAATTTTTTCATTTACAGTATATTTTCAGAAACTTGTTTTTTTGAAAATTAGAAGAATTTAATTTTCCTGAATTCATGTGATCTTTTCACGAATCTGATCTGATTCTTGTTTTGACTGCCGTGTAATTAGCCAACTTTTAAGTGTCACTGTAATTTGAACAGTATTCTTGATAGGCGTAGGAACAATGTTTCCAAATAAATTGATTTCCTAGATGTCTTTCATTAATCAATTTATTTTTCTGTAAAATATTCTCCTAAAATTTGTTGAGCTTTTATTTTTTGGTTCGACAACTTCGAAAGTTACTGTCGATGTTGTTTAAATACTTTGTTTTAAAAAATAAAACTCTTTAATTCGAGTTGAATAATGAAAAATTGAACTTTATTGAAATGTAGAAATTATCTGAATTTTAGACATCTGATTATAAGAGAATTAAATCATTGCTACAATCAGTGAATAAGGCAACCTTACCAATACTTGATCGATGCTCTTATGTCAGCTTCGTTACAAAAATCATTTTTCTCTGTTTCGCCAAGCCACTCAAAGTTACTGGAAAACATGAAACATTTTCAAAAGAGACTTTCAAAGAAGAATTTAGAACTATATCTTTTAAAATGCGAAAACCAGTAACAAATATATTATTAATAATAATTTCTAATTTACGCTGTTCTTGGTATTATATATATATATATATATATATATATATATATATATATACGTATATATATATATATATATATATATATATATATATATATAGGTGCTGTGCTTAAGAGTGCGTATTTTTGTTTGTGGTCGTCCCCAAAATCCTTACAACTTTTTGGTTTATCAAACAGCTTTTGGCAACCTGAGTTAAAGCTCAAAATTGCTTTTTAAAGAGGCAGACTTTTTGCACAATTCTCCATTCTCCGCAGTCGGTAGACTGCTAAAACAAAGTGCATTTAATAGCTTAAAGTTATCATTGCTTAAATAAATTAATTTTCAAAAGAATAATTTTTAGAGATTATTTTTCAAGGTCATTCTGTTATCTATCTTTACTTCAAGGAAAGGTTTCAGAGTGACAATTAATGCTTTGAGAAGCGGAATATCTCTGCGACTGTATGATGAAAAAGAGCATTTAAAACTTTATAATACAAGAGTCTCAAAGGAACTAAAGATTAGCCTATTAGTTAATGTCATTAAGGCTAGCACGTCAAAAGAAATCGTTAACCTAGTAGCAGCAATTTGTTGAACATAATTATCATTAAGTAACCATCGAGTAATGCAGAAAATGAAACCAATAATAGGGTGAGTAATCAGAAATGAAAGTATCTGAGCGCCAGCAATTTTAATGCTAAAAATAAAAAATTTGATTATAGCCTAAATAAAACTTTATAGGTTAGTTTATTTTATTTTTCTTTTAACTTGCGGCTCTTCTCTAAAGTTTCTTTGTTAACAACTGTTATGCTGTTTACAACTTTTAAACAATAACTCTTCAGGTAGTAATGTTAAACAAATAGCTACTGCAAAACATCTTTTTTGTATATTTTTATGCAACTAGGATAGCCGGCAGGTCACGATGTAAAAAAAAAGAGGAACTTGATGACAGTCTACAGTTGTGAATGCTTACTTGGAAAGAATCAGCAACAAAGCAGCAAGTTACAAATAACAAATTATTTATAAAGTCATTTCCACTTTTTCTTGTCTTTCTTAACTTCACACATTATAAGCTATTTGTAAACTTAAATCAAAATTTCCAATTTTTTTTCTCATAACGGTCTAATTTAGGAATTACTAACCTTGCTACGGAGGGGGCTTGACTAAGCGATTTTGAAGCTTGCTGGTACAGCGTTTTTATTGGCAATAGCTTTCACTTCTGGTATTTAAGATTTGACGTGTTTTAATTACGAAATTTTTTCATTTGTCTCGTCTGTTAAATTTACTTCACTACCAATCTTTTTTAACATTTACTTACAATGACATAAAAAGAGTTACAAGATCCTACTTTTAGCTTGATCTGACCCAAGAACAAGTCGTAATGTCAAAAGACTTTTTTGTCTCAATTAGTATTTCTCGGTTCTGATGCTGTTTAATTTTAAACCACTGGAGCGAGAAAGTTCTTTGTTGAGTATTTCGTAGACTACGACAGAATTTTTCAGACAATAACTTCAGAAAAGTTGAAAAACGCTGGTTTGAGCTACCGGAGGTTGTGCAACATCTCCCAGCTGACATATATCCTTAGATAACTTAACTGTTTTTCACTGCCTAAATAAATGTAATATGCTACTGTTTTGATGTGCAAATATTATAAGCAGAATATCAAGATGTAGGTAAGAAGAATTAAGTAGTCAAGAGAATTATTAACATAAAGTTGTAGACATTTTATTTTCCTTTTCTGATTAATAATTTTCATACAATAACTGAAGCAAAAATTCCGATTCTATCTAGTTATTACGGTCATTAGAACTTTTTTATGTTCTAAATTCCTTGCAGTTATATGATTTCTTTGGAAGTCTCAGAGATATTAACTTTCTTATAAGTGAAAATTTTGTTTCCTAAAATTGTTTCATCGACTTCATCTTCCGGAGTTATTTAACAGCTTCAAGTGATCGAAAATAATAATGGAAAAAATACATTCATTGAGGTGTCCAACGTTTACAACAGCAACAAATAATAAAGTTATATGAATAAAGTATAACTGGATAACAATGAACTGTTCAATGATCACTGCTGCTCGAAAATTTTTGTTGTTGATACAACTTACAGTGACTATACCATTAGTTTCCCTTTCATCGCTTTGTTTTTGCTTTCATTTGAGCCGTTTCATTTACAGAAAAAATCAGCTCAAAATTCTGGTCTTTGCAAGATTATCAGTTCCTCTTCTTACAAACGGTCGTTTTGGATGTTTACCACACCTTTGTCGCACAAAATAAATCCTGTTTATAGTGAATAATTTTCCGGTATGTCCCAAATTTATTTCAAAATCTTTATATCTTTTACGGACTGTTCTTCATAATCAGATAACTGCTTAATTTTAGTTGGAAATAGAGCTATTCGCCCACTAAAAATACTTTTGCATTGCAAAAGTTAATTGAAAAAACAACCGGTTAAACAGAAAAACAGTGAGAAGAAATGGTCAACAAAGATTCTACGCAACGATCTTATCTAATGAAATGATCATTATAAGAATGGCCGAAACTTTTGCAGAGCAATTTATATGACAGAAAAATTGGTGTCTTTTTAATATCCTTTCTAATCTTCTAAAAAATTACATTTAGAAAATGTAGTTTTTTAGAGTACAGAAAAAGTTAAAATTTTTTGCAAATGTTCCGCATTGTCGCTTAATTTAAGCATTGAACATGCTTGACCATATTTACGAAGTTCAGTAAATGACTACTATTATGAACGAAGTGTCCTTGCTAACCATTGTTATTCACTTTGACTAATTTTTTTTTCAGGCACTGCTCAGAGGATGTCGGGGTTAACAGCGGCAGCAACGACAGCTGCGATTTTTTCCATGGGAGCGTTTCTGGCCCTCGTGGGCTCATTACCGTTTCTGTTCAAAGATTTAAGCCTTGCAGAACAGATACTAAGCGACGAAATGAAACTATACAAAGAAGAAACCAATTTGCTATGGAAGGAACTTATGCACGAAACTTCATCTGGCCGACTTTCCTTGCTCCGACAGCGAAGAGAAAGTACATTAGGTCAGTTGCATATAGAGTCTCGCTTAGTAGTCATTCTCGACCGTATGAGAAATAAGGTTGGCATCCTGTTTACATGCTTCAATTCACGCCTCTACATCCAGGTGCCGTTTAATTTATACCTGTGGTCTCCAACATCATTATCTTAAGCTTCAAACTTCCAAATAAATCATTTAATTCAAGCATTATTTACGCCGATTTTTGATTTTGCTACTGAAATATACGCTTTACTTCTCAAAGGAATAAAAATAATCGTAATTTCAACATTCAGGCAAGGATGGAGACGCCGGAAAAGCAAGAAAAGTGTTCTCTGCAGGCATTGAAGTGAATCGCCAATCTGGTAAATGTCCACAGGGCGCCCGTGGACATCGTGGCCTTCCAGGAGACGACGGTTTGAGTTTTGAAAATTCTACCCTAGCTAATCACATTAACACATTTAATCGTCAAGCTCTCAGCCCGTCCAAACCTTTCAACCAGCGTATATCATATAAATTATTTATAAAAGTTTTTACAAAAAACTCATTGAATCTGACTACAAACAGTTAACAATGTTTGTCTGAAACAGATGTCTTGATATTTAAAAACTCAAAGACCTTCAGAGTCATTAATAATGCAAGCAGTAGAAGGAAGAGCGCATTAATATCCGAAAATTTCAGGCGAACCGGGACCTGATGGTGAGCCAGGTGTTCCAGGAAAGACTTATGAATCAGAAAGTGATTATTTCAAGGACTTCTGCCCTCCTTGCCCACCTGGTCGACCTGGATTCCCTGGATATAAAGGTAAACGTGGCCCACGAGGACCTAAAGGAGAAAGAGGACCACCAGGATTACCAGGTATAGCTGAAACTGTGGAATAATTCATAGAAAGTCCGGAAATTTAAAAAAAACAATGTCTTAAATAAGACAAAAATTTTTAGGAAATGATGGTCAACCAGGGCCAGAAGGGCCAGAAGGCGAACCTGGATACCCCGGAGCTCCTGGAGCACCAGGTGCTAAAGGTGAATTCAACAGTATACGGATTTTTCAAATTTACTTCCTAAAACAATTCTGTCAGGATTTTTTCCGTATTTCAAGTCAATAATTTTTTTCAGGTGTGCAAGGAGAAGACGGAATAGGATTTGCTCGCGGACCACCAGGACCGCCAGGCGAACCTGGCATACCAGGATTGCCAGGTGATGAAGGGCCACCAGGAGAACGAGGAGACGATATGCCACCAGGTAAAGAAATACTAGTCAAATAAAACCTTTCATAACAGTAAACCATTCCTTGTAGGACCTATCAGAGCCAATGTCATTAAAATCCAGAATTTCAGGATCCCAGGGACCCCCAGGGCCACAAGGAGCAGCTGGTGAACCAGGACCACGTGGCATACAAGGTGAACGTGGAATTCCAGGCTTACCAGGTAATGCTGAAATTCTTAGTAACCAGAAATCTTATAATAAAAAGTCAAAAAATATCTTATTCTTTCAAGCTGACTGTAACAGATTCTATCAAAGACGACAGGCTTTTGAGGTCGGAAAAAAGTTTATTGAGATGTCGAACCAGACGTGCCTAGAAATAAAAAGTCAATGAAAAACAAAGAAGATAAAGAATTTGAATCTGTAGCACTTGTGAAGATAGATAAACATTTAAAAAGCAATTTTATTGAGAACTTATTTTTCTCATCACCTTCTTCCATTTTTTACTGTCTCAATTTTATAGGCAAAGATGCACAGTACTGCCCGTGCCCAAAACGTAGCACCAGTCTCACTTCTGAAAAAAAAACTGATGAAGAAAGGGACGAAGAAAGCACTACCAAGGCTTCCTTCACAATGATGCCGACTTTGACTGCTACAAAAGCACAGAAAAAAGTAACTCAAGTTGGAAAGACAACTGGCAAAGAAGCTACAGGAAAACCTGTTTTAAATAAGCAGAGAAAACCTTTGGTTTACAAAGAAATTATTCAGGAAAGACTTCAAAAAGAAAAGGTAGAAATTTCATCAGAGATGCCTAAAGATGCGAAAGGAATCCCTAATGAGGAAGATTATGAAAAGTCTGTTGACGAAGATGAGGAAGAAGAGGATGATGAAGAGGAAGAAGAAACTATTGAGGAACAGAAAAAAGGAGGACTTAAAACTTCTCTAACATCAACAGGTAGCCCTGCGGCTTCGGAAAAAACCATAGGAGGTCCGACAAATGCTGATTCTGCAAAAGAAACTGAAGGGGAAAAGGGTGTAACAAAACCTGCGCAAGAAAAAAGTATGCCATCAAAATCCATTAGTACAACAGCGTCAAATGAAGAATTGGCCGATGGCTCGTCAACTGAAAAAAAAACTACTAAAGCAGAGACAAAAACAAAGAACACTGGGGCAGAAGATCAAAAAGAATCAGGTAGTGGAAAGACATCGGAACCAGCAAAAGAAATGGGGAATGAAATAGAAGAAGAGAAAGAAATAGGTGCTGGAAAAGTCGAGGAAAAAGTAAATGAGTCGGCGACTGGAATAAAAGGTCAAGAAAAACAAAAAAAATTGGGCGGTGGAGAAGCAGCAAAAGGATTTGAGATTGGAATAGAAGAAGAAAAAGAAATAGGCACTGAGAAAGTAATGGAAACAGTAAGTGAGTCGGCGACTGAAGCAGAAGGTCAAGAAGAAATCGGTGGTGGAAAAGCTATGGAAACGGCAAAAGAGTCAAAAACTGAGGCGAAAGATCATAAAGAAGTAGGTGATAAAAAAGCATCAAAAACAACAGGAGAATTGGAGACGAGCAGTGAAGAGAGTGACAAGGAGTCTGATGGTGACCAAAAAAAAGTTATCTCAGAGTCTTCAAGTAATGAAGCAGCAGGCGAACTTGGTACTTCAGAAACTGAGCCGTCGGCAGAGAACATCGGTTCCGCAGTAGTTGAAAAACCTGTTCTTTCTGGTGATGCTGTCGTTGGAGAAGCTCCCCCAAGTTTTTCAGATTTCCAAGAAAATTCTAAAGAAAAATTGCATATATCGAAACGAAAAACTCATACAAGTAAATTTTTATAAAAATATCAAATTTTCTGGTTTATTAGATTTTTTATTGTAGCATCTCTTTTTTTCATTCGCTAACCAGTTCATCTGTACCTTAAACGCTTCTTCTTTAGCTGGAGAAATGAAAAGAGTGACAGAGGGAAAAACTAGTCAACAAACGGATGCTGAGGTAAAAATCAAAGCCCAATTATAGCACTTCTGATTATTATATAAAAGTCGTTCATGTAATTTCTTAGAGAAAATTATTACAAAAATAAATTAATGAGAGAAAAAAGGGTTAGGAAATTTTGAGCGGTGAATTTTGGTAACAGAAAGTTTCTTTAGTCAACGCTGTACAACTCCTTTTCCAAGCTGTCATTTCCGTCTGAAGGTTATGTTGAAAATGTTGTACAAGGGAATTTATTTTTAGAGAGTATTCAGCAATTAAAATTTACTACATAATTATGATACTTTTTTTCGTCTCAATATTATCGTCTATTTTTGTTAGCATCTAAAGGTTATATATATTTTTTTAGCAGGAGCAACAAGAGATGGTCAAACTTTTAAAAGCTCAGCTGTCTAAGCAGATGCGCCGTAGGCATTCCTAAGAAAGCAAAAGTGTGCGGTTGTAAGAGAACCCAAAAGTTAAATGAATAGTAAAATCTGCAAGAAAAACTCGGTCATTTCAGTTTTATCTTTGAGAATTGTACCACTAATAGCAAATATTCCGTAACATTGGTCTTATTTATTCAATAAAGTCGAAGAAGCAAAACCTGCTTATCGTTTGACATATGTACAAAACATTTACGCAGAAAAAACGAGCAGTGTCTCTTAAATGTAAAACTAAGCAGAAATGGGGAGAGCTTGATCATCTAAACAGGATAAAAGAAATTAATTTTAGTGCATTAGCAATTCAGAAACATGGAAGACTAGCTTCTTTGCTGTCTTCAGCACCGCAGCTCTCATTTCCGCCGTACAGCGAATGGTAATGAGGTGCTTATAACACAGGGCCTTGAAATAAAATTAAAATTATAAATTCGTCCTTGGTGATCTATGCACACGTCATCATTTTTATTTTCTTAACTCTTAGTTTGTTACATATTATAAAATCTGTAAAGAACGACAAAGTAAGCAACAAATGCTTTTGAGGACAGTTGTGTCCAATTTACCTATTCAGATAAGTAAATCAAATGATTGAAAATCTTAGAAGAAAAAGACTATACGAGTGTTACAACTATCCAGAGCAAAATACGGCCCCGCATGCTCTTCTTCGATTCTATCGTTCTTTTGCTTTCTTAAATAAAAGCGAACAGCAAGCAGTTCTTTTTCATCTCTTCATTGAATTAAGTAACCTTGATTCGCCTGAAATTAGTCAGTCTCCCTTAACCATACTAAGGTCATACCTGTCATCACGAGTGTTTGAACTTCCCACAAAAACGTTTTTTAGACCCACCCATGATGCTCACGCCCTTCAGTCTCATTCTTTTGAAAGAACCTCAACATGTCCGATCTACTCCCGTTTTGAAACCCCTGAATAGCAGCGACTTCCACCATCACTTTCTTGAGATTAATCCTGTTAAGCCTTACCTTAAGCCAATATTAGTATTTTATTTCTATCTAGCTGACTGAGCAGCATTTAACAAGTTCTGACTAAGTCTTTCACTCTATTAATCTTTCCTCTTTTTAAAAAAAACTGCCTTTTTTTTCAATAAAGTGCTTCTTCCTAAGCAGCTCATTCTTTTGAAGTGTAAAACTAATCTATTGTCTAACCACCTAAATTCCAGACGTAAAATCGACGTTTTTAATTAAGATGCATCGACAACGAAGCATTTAGCTCACTTACTATCAACATAATATACCAGTAAATTGTTACAGGTATTTCTCATAAACATTACTCTTTTGAATTCAACTAGTTACCAACGTAGCCTAAAATGTAAGGTCACTTGCCTCAACTCATAAATCTCTTTTTGACGTCAAAAAACCAGCATCAAAAATTCGCTAAAACTGCTTCTTTGCATACCTCTCGATTGTATCAAGCTCACTCGTTTTGTGGGAATAATCCATCGATTATTATATTGGATCGAATCAAAGAAATTAGCTATTTTTACTTATAAGAACCTACTCAAAAAAAAAAAAAAAAAAAA